CATCCTGACTTCTAATGAGTATACTTGACACTAGTATAGTTCGCCTAATTTTTAATGGAACAAATATGATATTAACTCTCGAGTACTAGTTTAACTATCTTACTTCTTTTCTTTATCGCTAATACAATATTGTACAAAATAATACATTATATTATTGATAAAGGGAGTTTATAAAAGGGTTGTAGCATTTTATTAATGACTGAACTGGTGAGAAATAAAGTTAAAGCTGATATATCACATTCTTTATATCATTAAGGCCAAGCATATCTACTGGTTAACTCAAAGACAGTATAGATATTTTATAAGAATACACTGTCTTTAACAGCTACAAATGCTTCGGTGTACCTTCAGATAACTTCATTTCTAGATTCCCTAACCTAAGGAGTGTATAACTAATTAAAATGTAAAAATAGCCTCATTTAAATCATAAAGCACTCAGTGTTTGACAACATTGAAAGGACGTTTTGTCCTGGTATGGGACTCTTCAGTGGTACACAATGACCGCTCCGCTCGCGAGTATCGGACCCAGGGCCTTTGGTTTTTGGTAAAAACGCTGAGTCTCTTGGATAGAGGTTTGATTTTAGAGTGTTGTCGCAGACGGACACATCTGGAGGCCCGAAATGAGGAGAAAACGGTCGTACAAGGCCTCCAGGTTTTCATTGATGATCCAAGATTGGTCTACTTATGATTTCAATGAAACTCAACAATCTCCACAACCCTATATTGATAAATAGTTTTGTGTTAATGAAGTCTGAATGCTATTCTTCCTACATGATTTATTAGGAATCCAAACCAATAATAAATTACATACATTGTCAAAGCAATATTTACTGTGAGGAAATCAACACTGGCTGATGTTTTAAACAGAAATATCCTGTTAACAAATATTAAACTTGTTTAGTTGATGTTGTAGCTGCTTTGAGAAAAACCCCAAAATAATTTTTATTGAGCTGTTTCGCATGACTTACAATTAGTATAAAACGAATAAGAGATTTCAAGTAAAAATATGATGTGTTAAAATATATTGAAATGTATACTAATTTTGTAAAGAGAGTTATGAAACAAGTGTTAATCATTCTTAATGATTTGAAGTTAGTCGAAGTAATGGTCAATTGATAATTATAGACGTTTGCTGATTGAATTATTTAACAGGAATATGGTTTATTGTCGGAAAACTAAGCTACGGGCTTATATATATATATATACATATATATACATATATATATATATATATATATATATATATATATATATTGATAAATCAAACATTTGGGGTCATTGACTAAATTAAATGATGAAAACATTTGCATTTATATTCCGAGGCATCAACGTTTGGTCGTTTCGACAGTAACCAATCATACTGAGGATAAATAAATAAAATTTATTGCAGTTTTAAAGTTTTTAATTATACCATCCATTAATTTCATTACAAGATGTAGGTTAAGAATACCTATTTTCAAAAAAACATTATGTTATTTGTGTTCTGATTAAATGCAATACTTGGATGCGATTGAATTTTAGATATTTTACGCTGGTATATTTTGTGTAGAGAAATGTTCTAGTTTTAACATTTGTAAATTTTAATGACTATGAGCTTTAATCGTAACGGGAACAATTCATCTAGTATGGTATGACCCGCTTAGTTGCCTGATACGTTTCTTAGTATTCCTTCTATTACAAAATCATTTTTTCAAATAACTAATCACCTAAGACGGCAATTATAGGTGTAGAAATTTTCACAGCTTCAAGATCATGACCACACTTTTTTATTTTCTAAATCACGGTATTAAGCGAAACACAACGACTGATTGACAAGATATTTTTTAACAAAAACATATATCGAAGGGATAATACCTGAACTTCATTAGCTTCTGTTCAACTTTGTACATATATTTTATTCAGATGATAAAATTGGAAGGTTTCCGTAAAAATTCATACATGATTATGGTGATAACGGTAAGAAAGATGGTGCAATACCAAGAAACATTGAATTTAGGTGAATAGCTGTACTAAAAAAGAACCGATCTGACTGCTAAGCTGAATTATTCTTGATAAAATCGTTGTTGCAAATTATTCAAATGTATTATCTACTAAATAAAAGATACTGTTTACTTTCATAAGTGTGTTATTATTGGTCATTTCAATATTAATGCAACCTTCATAATTTTTCAGCATAATAATTAGTCCGTAGATGTTGTCAATATCTAAATTTTTCATTACATTGGTTTAATATATATATATATATATATATATATATATATATATATATATATATATATATGGATAGATTGTATGTAAGATTAAAATATGTATCATACAATTACCAATCGTTATATTACACAGTTACCAAGTGATATTTGTTAACTGAATTCTCAACTCTTATTTGTTTTATATCATTCCATGTTTTTTATTATTACCGTTTTCTTCTTTATTTATTCATTTATATAGATCATTTTAATGCAAGCTTTCCCATTAAAAAATTTTTCTCTAAATGCATTATAAATCATTTTTGGATATTTAAATGTTAACCGAAAAAGTTAAACGTATAAAATTATACAAACTAACACCAGTTCATCAAATGTAAATGAAATTTAATCTTTTTTTAAAATTTTTTTTAAAAATAATAAAAAAAAATTAACGTTTTTCTTCTTTAAATTTCCACTGTAAGAAACAGGAACTAAAGAAAATTAGATTTTACAGTAAAACTTAATCATTTTTTTAAGTTTCATACACATAGTTCCCTTTATTATTTTGAAAACAGCAAGAACAAAGATTCTAGCAGAATAGCATGAATTCATTTTATTTCGTAGGTTCTCGTCAGCTGCTTACAACCTGTGATATTTAAAAATCATCATAATTACATAATGGGTTTAAATTGCTAACTGAATATTGTAAATATATACCTAATGTGAAAGAATATTCTACAACATTAATTGTGACAACAGTTCAAAAGTGGGTTAGGAACAATTGATTACATAATGAATAACATTGAAGGAATGTAGTGAGTAGAGTTCAGTTGAAAAATTATTAATTTGAAAGATAGTTGAAAAAATAAAATAGAGTCAATGATGTAATAAATGCAAAAGAAAAAAGAAAAAAATAAAATTTTATGGTGCAGTGAAGGAATATTTGTCACCAGGGCAAGGAAAGATTAACCACCGTCTCCTTTTGAATACATTGGTCAGGTTTTTGACGCCTGATGGCAATGGCTTCAGCAAACTTCAGAAGATTGGAGTTTGGCTGCTTACTAATCACTCGTTTTAAAAAAAAAGATAACATGAAGGCAAAGAAACATTGTGCTTATTCGAAATTAAATGATACTCCTAATCAATTGGGATATGAAATATTGATTTAAATGTTATGAAGTATCATTTAAATCATTTTTATGTGTAGCAACAACATAGTGTTTAAGTGAAAGCTCATTTAAGATTATGTAATTCATTACCTATTACTTATAAGCCAATTGTTTTATAGAAATATTAAAATATAATAAGTTAGTACTAATCATAGAACTATGTTTATAACATGTTAGTTTGTAAAGATTGTTTTAGGTTTTGGATTATTGTTAGCCGGACAACGATCATCTAATAATTGAGTACCAATGAATTGTACTTGGGAAAAAAGTCCTCAAAATATACTAAATTACTATGGAGATTTTTGGAGATTGTAGTATTTTAACAGTTAACTTCACGAGTTAATCTAAGCTAGATCACCATTGAAAATCTGGAAGCACTGGATGGGCGTTTCATCCTGTTATAAAACTTCTTTAAAGAAGTCTTATACTTTTAAGGATATTAAAATAATCTAATTGAAGATGCAGCAAATATTTGCCATAAACAAGAATTATGTTGAAGAGGATAAATCTGATGTATCATAGACTTTTAAAATAAAATTGTTATTTCATGTATATTCAATTGTAATTTAAAGTACCAATATTTAGATTACCAACCTTAATTCAAATAATGAGATGAATTGAAAACCCTTGTAGTAGGAAGGAATAATTACAATTTTCCATTCTTCTTATTGATTTTTCTGATAACATTTAAATCAGATAATAATAACCATTACATTCTCCATTAATTGAACAAAGGGAATATACATGAAATGCTCAATTTGTTGATCAGACGTTGATTATTTTCAACAACAACAAAAAAAACACAACATAAAATCTGTATTCACACATTTAAAACAAATGGAGAGATCACCAACAAACAAATCGAATAAGAGTTAATTAATTCACAAATTAATTTACTGAACAAAATGAATTTGTGAAAGATACTTTCTTTCATAGTTAATAGAAAAATGAATAAATGACGATTCAGAAAAGTAAAAGTTATTTCTGAAAAAAAATGTTTAGCTTAAATGGGAAAGTTTTATCACATATCTCAGACTTTATCTGATAGGACTAATAAATTAGTCTGAAATGATAAAAGCTGATAAAGTCACAAACGATAATTGTTAAAAAACTGCAACCCCCTACAAATCCACATAGTGATGATAATTATGTGCTTATTAATGGCTAGCTTCATGGTGGATTTCCCGAAGTTCTAGTAAGAAGCTGTGATCATTGGAATTTAATCCGTGTAGGGTATGAGAGAGTTATCCACCTCAGACAATGGATGAAGGGTTGTGAAAGATCATGGATCAATGGAAGTTAGACATTAACACCATTGGATGCCGGCTTAGTGTTCTAGAGTTTAAGTGTTCACGCGCGATGCCTAAGGTACTGAGTTTGAGTCTTGCGTGGAGGATCATGGATTCGCACTGCTAAGGAGTCTTATACTAGAATGAAGCGACCGTGCAGTGGTTCCATGTTTCCAACGATAGTCTAGCTTAGATTGTCACATGAATCCAAGTGTTAAAATAACAAGTTAAATGTTTTGAATAAGCTTTATTGTAATGAAAGATCATTACGATGAGATTACACTTTCTATTAAATATTTCTGTGATTATTTTACTTGTCATAACTGAATTTCTTTCATTTTTTTGGTATGTCTTAGAAAAGGGATTCCATCAAACGATGCAATATCTTCGAGTCAAGAACCTCAGTCGTCCCCACAAATTCCAGCAGTTGTTAAACCACGGCGTGGATCCATATTTGTTTCAGCACTTGCAGCGGAACAACATGGCGCATCAACTTTATCGACAGATAATGCGTAAGTTAGAGTGTCGATGAAAACACCTCATATTCATTTGATTTAACTAATAGTCAAGAAAGCTAATCAATAGTTTGAGGCTATAAAACATTTTTCTTTTAAATACTTTAGCAGTTTACCATGGTAATTATTTTGCATCATATAGAATTAATGAAGCATATGATTAGATTAAAAGTATTAGTCACTTCGAAAATAATAATAGATAGATTTTTTTCTTTTCAATGAAAATCATTCTAAAGAGCAACACATTATTCGCATCGTCTCTCCATTTACAATGATCAAGGTAGGCAATAAAATGAATTGACATATTAGATTTTTTAAAGGATAGTAAAAGTAAATTATTGTTATGAAATTTTTTTATCGTTATTGTCATTTTCAACGGACACTTATTACGCAAAGCATGTCAAAACATATCAATGTGTTTTAAAATTTTTGCTCTGCAGTTGTTTACAATTTTTATGACGAAAAGAGGTAGTTTGATAGAGAATGAATTGTTTTAGAGTATAGACGAATCCGATAACCCTTCCTAGTTTTGTGATTATTGTCATCTACCTATCTTCCTAAACAAGTCACATTCTATGATGAACACATCATGTCGTTTAGCCGTTGTAACTTTTTGAGAAACAAACTGAAATCATGTATTTCAAAACAATAGTTTACAGTGTACCAACTCGATTATACTAATTTATCTTACAGATATAGAGTCTTGTATTGTATATTTGAATGGGACTGTGCACACTAGTCAGCTGTTAAACAGTGGATTTACTGACCAGTGAAACATATTCAAACATAATACATTCCAAATTGAAATAATTCTGTAAACTTATATAATATTCATATAATTATAATCATATCTTTATTTGTTCACTGTTAATTTCTATGTATGAGCAGTAAAGGACCCAATAATAAACCGACAGTATATTCTATTGATATTTGGCTAGGTAAAATACAAATCTATTTAACTTACAAAATAGTGAATTATCATAATTATATGCTTTATGCAAAATGTCTGTCTTATTAATTTATAGTGACTATTCAAGACTAAAAAAGGCTTTATTGGAAGAATCCAGAAAAAAATACCTTAGAAAAAGTAAAATAAAAGTCCACAGTAAATATGACAAATAAAACTTTGCATAAATTATGCATAATTTAGTTGGTTAGTGTGTACTATCTATAAATAAAAAAAGATAATCAAGCATAACAATCATTCATTGTTATAACTATTTACATTCTTTTGATTGGCGAAAATATGTAAATTGTCAAGGGAGTTAGATTGTCGTCCTTATACGCATATATATCTGACTTGGTATAAATGTTTAATCATTACTATTGGATTTATTGCCAGCAAGTGTCCACTAAAATCAGTGTTTGTTTGAGTTTTATAGACTATTTATCCAATAGTTAAGTGATAAGTTTAATGTAGAAAAATACTGTATCAGTCAAGCTGTTGAAACGTGAAAATTAAAAATATACCTGTGCAGTACACTCACAAATAACGGTTCAATAAACACAAGGCAAGAAATAAACAAAATTAGTAAAAAAGGTGAATAGGTAAAAAAGTATCCAGTGACACTATAAGTTAAAAGATCACTCCAAGAACACATACATATCATTCTAGTTAATCTCACTTCATATCACAATAGCAAAACGTTTAAACTATATGAAAATCAGAAGAGTTAAGCGAATAGTATCATTCAAGATAGTGAACAATCAAAAATAGGAAATATACTTAAGAAATAGTCAGTCAATTCGAGAGACAAACCGTACGAAATAGTCATCAACGTCAAAAGTTACGGAATAATATAGAATCAATAAATCTTTACGATAGAAGTTAATTTTGTGGTATATCGCTTATGATTTTTAATCACAAGTATAACATGAATCATCTGACGGCGCACCATTGTACATTTCTTCATAACCTGACTCTATAATCTGCTTACGTGGCTACTAAAATGTATTCATATCACTATTTTAGTACATTATGCATATAGATGTAGGCATTAACAGTGCATATAATTATTGCTTACTTTGTGTCTTATCTACTCTGTTTCAAAGTAGGTGTTGACAACATACTTATATCAACTGAAAACAAGCGAGAAATTAAAACGTGTTTTGTCCGAGCCTTCAATTTTTTTCTAGCTGATAGACATCTTAATCTCTCAACGTAACGCTATTCTGTTCGGCTAATGAGTCACAATTTGAAATGCGAAGGAGTTGAAAACTGGAATAAAAGAGCTTTCCAGCAATGTTTCAGCTTTTGACAATTAAGATATAGAGAATAAGGAAACAAAGATTACATATTTTAATTCAACAGTCATTATTGATTTGACTTGATAAATATTTCATAGTTTATTATGATATGATGAACTCAATTTATCGTTGACAAAATGACCTACAACTTAAAGCTGCGTATTCAAAGATACCTTAAATTCATATATTATTATTAATGGCTTTATTCAATATTAAATTTTTGGTACAATATAGAATTCTCAGCACAGAGTATCTCAACAAGTTTCCTTTTCTTATTTCTTGATCGATCCTGAAGACAAATAGTGAGTGATTCCAAGTTATAAGTTAGCAGTTCAGGAATCGATATCCGAATAAGGTTTATTCTTTTCAATTCATATTGCCAACCGCTACGATGTTTCTGATAGTACTTTTTTGTAATTTGTACAGCGAAAGGTTGTAAACGTTTCATAAACACACATGTGAATGGGTTTTGCAACAAATGAACATAATGATGCGTTGAAACAAACAAAGACAGATGACTTGTTGAAATACTTAGATAGCGGGAACAGGTGGACCAGATATGTCAGTATTGCAGTTAATAATGTTAATAGTACAGTAATGATATAAATAAGAATTTTAGTATGATACCATGATCACACTATACGTAAAAATTCGAACAAATAATAATAAACAGTTTTATTATAACTGATGAACTAAATTAAAAGTGGGAAGACACATGAATTTTATTTCATTTCTTGGCACTATAAACACACTGTTATACAATGGATAATTAGTTTGATTAAGGAGAATATATTTTAAAAACTTAAATTTTTAAATACAGAATACAATTCGTTATATAATCCATCTCCTTATCTTGTATCTTATATGAATAACTGCCTCGGTCCCCACTTACCAAGATGGAACTAATCATAATTATTATTAATATCATTATTGTTTAAAAGGAATACTGATCGTCAGATAGACAATCAACCGAAATAAATGAACCATTGATTTTAAACATTCATTATACCTGTCCTTAGATAATGAACTTGAACAATATTCAAATATTATGCTTATTTTATTCCATATTTGTAAATTTCATCAATGTTACACTATATATTGTATAATCAATCCACTTCTCGACAATGACATATATATATATATATATATATATATATATATATATATATATATATATATATATATATATATATATCTTGTGAACTTTTAATAAACAAACGAATGAAGAATATATACGGATCAACACAGACATACATAGTATGACATAGAAACATGAAAACCCACCCGTAGATATATATATGTATTCCTATGCGTAATTGTTTATAAATATTTGTTACATACTACTTATTATTCAGTATAATATTTCGTTTCTAACTTGCTTCATTTCTGTAAAACTAATTAAAATAACACTATTATTGTTATCATTAACAAACATTACACATATTGAAATGTAATGTTCATGGAAGTATTTTCATAGTTATTGATTTATTCATTGAACATTATTAGACCTAATGTTTACATACCTTTTTTATGATGACTTATAAAAACAAGTGATTAATACATTGTTCATGTTTATCGCAACGTATCATCAATTTATGTCAGTAAATGGTTTACAATTTCATTAAATAATTATGACAATATAAGGCGTCATGTGGAAGAAATGTTGTACTATAAGCTGTATAAAATGTAGTGATCATCATCATCATTCTCAAGCGAAATTAAACCAGAAGAATACATCGAAATCGAAAGCAATTAAGCATCCTTCAACAAATTCAGAACATAGTCGGTCTTTATTATTAGTGAATTCTTCAAATACAAAACACGCAGAAAATAATTATAATGTAAATTCAAAATGTGATCATTTGACCACTTCTATGACCACCAGTAGAGATTATCAAGTGGAGACTCAGAATATGGTAGACGGTAGTGATCGTAGAAGCATGATGACAACAGTAACTACTACTCACACTACAACAACAACCGGTGTGGCTACTATATCTACTCCTACTTCCATTAATAACATAACAACTTCAGATTTAAGTAAAATAACTTTATATCAACCTGGATCTAACGGTAAATATAGTCAGCATTCATCACAGATTAATCCAATGAATAAAAACACTGTAAATATCACTACTACTTCTGCCATTACTGCTGATGCCAACGACAGAAATAATGGCGATACTCATGGATCAAAAGATAATAGTCTGACCCCCCTCATGTTGTCTACTATAACTAGTTCATCTGTAATAATGCGTCCAGGTAAACAATTAGAATCTTTTGTACACAGAATTGAAAAAGATGAGGAAGGCACTAGGCCATTTAACCAGTTGTTTAGGCGATCTGTTTCCAATATACATTTCACAACGAATAATCATACTTATTCTCACTGTAATCATCATAATTCTCCTACATTTTTTTTACCACGTACATCAACTGATCCAAATACATCAACATCAAATGGTTTATATTCGATCACAAATAATTCATTTGAATCACAATTAATGAATAAAAAAATTCCTATACGTAGAGGATCGATGATTGTTAGATTGGGTCGATCTAGTACAGGTGGGGCAACTGTTGCAACTAGTACCAGTTCACCAAGTACAAATGGAATAACTGGAGTCTTACCAGATTCATCCGTTGAAGGTGTGATTGTGACACCATTCGCTCAAGTGCTTGTTAGTATGCAACGAATACGGAATGCATTTATCAGGTTGACCGCTGCTCAAGTATCAAATAGGTGAGTACTTAACATTTTTACGATATCAATAAAGTATATGATACTGTTTCCCTTTTTCAAAATCATCCACTTCAATATGTCATTATTTTTAATTGTAGATATTATAGACTATATGACGATATACATTGCTTTCCCACCTAAGAAACTCGTCAGTTGAATTTATTAGCATTTAGATAATATTTTATTCTTATTACGCTTACGAATCGGTACTCTTCATCGTCATATTCTTCTGTTTTCAAGCTTCGGAACCACCTTCACATAACGACTTTTTTCACTAAATCATGTTTATTTGAACAGACTTCTATACATTCATACATAAAAAATTTCGCCCTGTTATCAGATTGTCAAAGCAGGACCTATATAATGAAAGGTGAACTAATCTAAGCAGAGGTTGTTTTGAATTTCACTAGACGAATAGATAAATGTTGAGCTAGAATAGATGGAATATGGTTAGCATTGGAATCTACGATGAAATCTTCGTCCAATTTCGGACTCATCGGGTGGATGTACCTGGGTCGTAGGGTTAACTTTCACTCTGGGATCATCACCTAATATCGTTCATTTTAAACGCCGTTGCGTTATTGACTTAGCTACTTAATAGAGATAGCCACTCACTTGTGCAAGATGTGAGATTCGTTATATTTGGGATTCGTCGCATATGTCGAGATAGTTCGCTTAGGATTCTCATATGCTAACCAAGATTGATCAAATTTCAGTCAAAAATATCAACAATAGGTTAATGTAAGCCATTCTAAATTGAATTATATCCAGCAATAACTTGTATTCTATTAAACAGTAATTAATAAAACAAACAGCCTTAGTACAGATTGATAGAAATGAACAGCTACAAATTCTTGGTTATATGCAATTCTATCGGCAAAACCCGCGAATTCAGTGGTGAGATATCAAAATTAGATGGAATGATACTTATGAAATAATATAAGTGAGTCACAATTAGCAAAAATAAACTTAATCATTCAAATGCTATGTAGACAGTTGTTGAAAGATGCCTACATATGTGAAAATATCAGCTGATTTTGAATAACGAAATTTAGTGGTACCTTGTTAAGTTATCTAAATTTTGTATGATAGGTAGTTTATTCATGTCATTATCGTATAAGCAAATAGAAATTGAGAAGAAATGGTAGAATTTGTAAAAAGATTTTATTAGTTCTATTCAATTACATTGGAAAAGTGAACCAATGCTTGAATATTCCAGTAATTTATTTGTAAGTACTGATCACGATATGGGATTAAAAATTATCCGCCAACTTACTACTTGATTTATCTGATCATAAATGCGATCTGGACAGTCGAACAATTAATAATACCCAATAGGTCTTTAAATGTGCATTGTAAATGAGTAAACATATATCTTTTACTATACATGAATGTTTGATGGATTGTATTCTCTTTAGTCGTCGATTTAATATAATATTGAGCAGACAAATGAACCAAAAGTTACGTAACGAGTTCATATATATTTTTTATTGTAATCTATAATGCGTATTGCACACAAACGTTTTCGTATAATGAATTGAATGATTTTACAAAATTCTATATACAGAAAATAAACAAACATACTTTTTAAATTTTTTTTACATATGTGTAATAATGTGGCGGTGTTCCAGCCAGATTAATTGGTTAAGTCTTTTCTGAGGAGGACTATGCAGGTCCTTCTGGAATGGATTCCTTGTTTTCAAGGCTCACAAATCCACAGCGTGAATGTGATTTTGTGGAGAATCACGGTCCCACAGGTCCATTGACCGATTAGGTTGGCTAGCAAGGTTGACTGTACTATCCAGCAGCGCTGAGAGGAGGCCTTATGTCCGAATTTTTCTGCCGATTATTAAGGTGTAAAGGTAATAGTTAATAGGATAAGACATAAATCGAATTTCGGTAATCAGAAACCTAGGTTTGAACTTTACGAATAGAATGACCATCTGTTAGTCAGTAATGATGAATTTAAATATGAAAAGTAAAATATGAATAACTGGTGTAATTTTATTTCACCTCCTTATAATGAAATATTTGGTAACGTTGTAATCTAATTCAGTAATCATTTAATACGATGTTACTAACTTTATTGTACACCATATTTATAACTGTTCTATATTGTAAAACTGTTTATATTTGTAAATTTATCATATTATATACTTATGTACATTAATGAACCATAAATACGACTGCATAGCTTTAGTCACTTTTCTCTAAAATTGTATTAATTTCTCGATTACAATTAACTTTTAACACTAGTGTTGTTATTTCTGTCACTCATGTTCTAATGAAGTTTATAGAATATGATATAGAACTAGGTGGAATATAAATGGAATAAATTAAAACGAAACGCGTTCATACTAACAAACTAACTTTACATCATTAACAATCTGTGTTAAACAACATACTAAACTTGTAGTCAATTTTAATGTAATTCAATGTTTAATACTAGTTGTATGTAAAACTATTAATCTTTGATTTCAGTTGTACTTAAGTTGATCGGGTTGAATATACAGGAAAACATATCAACTGTCAGACAATATCAAAATTATAAGAAAAGAAAAAAAACTGATTTCATCAGGAGGAATTTTATTGTTTATTCTAGTTTCACATCGGTTCGCGATATAAACTATGGAAGTTTAGCACTTTCCACAGTATTCTATGATCATAACCTCAGTATGCTTACCAATGACTAACTTCTTGATATAACTCTAGTGAAAGCCATGACCGTTTGAGGAGTAAGACGAATAACAGCATTCGTAGGATCATGAATTAATTAGGGTTAGACATGTAAGCCACTCTGCGCCAGCTCAATAGTTTTAGCATACGTTGTGAGACTTGAAAACTCTGGATTTTTTTACAGGTTGTGTCATGGATGTGAATTACTAAGTAATCCTATTTTAAGGTGAAACAATTGTTCAGTGATTATCTAAATAAGGTCAGCTCGCGAAGTACACTATGATATTTAAGTTTCATTTATTTATTATAACTGGAACAAGAAAATATTACATTTTTCTATTGATTAAGAAAGTAATAATGATATTTATATTATGAGGTCAATTACAATAAGTAAAGAATGGAAGAATTAATTTCTATTATGAAACTCGAGAACATTCACAGGTCAATTTGTGGATGTGAACAAGAACCTTCTGGGTACACAAATAATTAGTTACGTGTGACTTCTTGTTAATCAGGTCAATTTTCTTCTTCTTCTTCTTCTTCTTCTTATTATTATTATTATTATTATTACTCATTTCTGTAAACATGTAGAAATTTTATGATTTACCTTTTAAAATCAAATGGTTTTTGTTGATTAATTTGTACACATAAAATGAAAAATGATTAAGTAAATAATAATCGTAAATAATTATTTATAGTATTGTGTTTAATTAGAAGTAAAACGTAGAAAAATCAAATATTCGCTGCTTGGTAACTGTACATACATAGATCAATATGTGCATCTTTATGTATTATGAAATATTGTCACTCTTGTGGCCCACGTTATCAGGCTGTTTGTTTATATGGGCCATTAATGATGTGTACACCTTGGGCCTATTAGACAAATGACATTCAGTTTAATTAGTAAAATGATTATATTGACAATAATTAGTCTTAAACAACAAAGACGAATAATCTCACTAATATCGGTTCAGAAAGCAGCACCCTTCAAGCCATAGTAGCCATTCAGTAGTCGAAACAGAACCGAAAAATAAAACCTGTTATTGTCAATCATCATGATTAAAACACTCATAGGCTTGTACACAATAATCATCAGAACACAATTCATGATTATTAGGTGATTATAAGTAATGCACAACCAAGGTGTAAGTGTTATGGAATGGAGTAAAAAGCAAATGATTAATTAACCATGATTTGAGGAAGGAAAATATAAAAATACAATAATCTGGTTATTTTGTAACCAGTTCTGATAATCTTCGGCTTCTTATTACATTATCGAAATTTATCAAAGGGGCTAATTGTTTTATATTTTATAACCGTTTAACGAAAATGTATTTGATCCAAGCTATATTTAAAAATGTTTTACAACCAAAAATCACTTGAATTTAGTTTGTCACTCAATTCTGTACTTAGAATAAGTCTTATAAAAAAACGTAGTACCATGAATTTCGTTATAAATGGGGTGAAATGTATAATTCAATTATAAAACTGTGGTAATAATGGGTGTTTGTACTAGTTATCTAATAAAAAATTTATGCCATACATTGTTTACACTAATGAAATTAAAAATTGGTCCACTTAATCGTAATCAAGCTCAACGGCTACAACATTAACGTTGAGCGTGATGAATGCATATAAATTAAGTTACTGAAAATTCACTTTCTTTAAAATTTCTAGTTTATCATCTGTCTGCACTACAAATATTGAAAAATTCCACATTTTTCAAGGTATAATAATTAATTTATAGAGATTACAGTCAGGCATAAACATTGAAAATGATCTAAACTACCATAATACACTGAAATTCATGTTTAAGCACACTCTCAAACCTATTGAGGTTTGAAATAAGAGGAATTTTGCTCAATTTCAAATTTGAACATCAACATTAAGATGTTTAGTTCATTCAATTAACTTGTCCCGAATGGGATGATATGAGTGTCTTGGGTTCTACTTTTATCCACCATCCAACCCTACTTCAAAACATATTGTTTTTGGTGCATTAAAGGATAAACTTTATAATCGTCAGTCACTTGATAGGTTGTATTTATCATAAGAAATGACGTTGTCCTCATGCAGTAGACATGCTGATATTCTTGATTAGTTTGATAGTTATAATTAGATGACAGTTGGCATTAACCTAGATCATTATTATTTTGACTTGTTGTGGTTACACTCTAAGAATATTGTGGTTTAAACGATATGTCATGGTGTTATCATAAATGACTTACGTATTCGATATTTCTAATTACGTCAAGCCTGCTTTCACCTATATATTATAAGCAAATAAGGTCAAATTCAAAATGTTCTGTTTTTTTTCTAAACAT